TCACATTGAAGTATATACAGTACAGGATTTTGGCCTAAAGACCTTCAGCACTTTTTCCTATCATTTTTCCAACACTATATCTCGGATAAACAATAGAAAATCACAAAGTAATGTGATCAAATCTCTATGCTTCTGCGTGTGTGTTGGCAGGGAGTACCAATTCGCAGCTTGGCAAAGTACTTATTTTGGACTATAACTGCAAAAATTCTCCAAGCACTGTGGCCAGAACACTGGCTGGTGTTTTCTGGCAGTCACAGTCCAGAAATGTAACTTTCTAATGCTATTATTAAATTACTTTTTTTATTCCCCTCTCTTTTCCAAGCATGCCTAGACAAATTCTTGTCTGTATCAGTTTAAAGGGGGAAAACAAGCCCCAGGCCTTCTCAGGAATAGAGCTTAAACACCACCAGGCACATTTTGACTGATCTCTGTGTCTACATTTATTGGCCTTGGTATTAACACATCATCCCAGGAAAGTCTGGATAATATCTTTTTCTTCCCCCCCCCCAACCATTGGTATTCATCTTCCCCCTAAACTCCCCTCCCTGCACCAGTCCACAACTAACCATATATGCACTGAGGCAGCAAATTTGTTTAGAAACAGAACGAAACCTGCCGTCTGCAGCATTTCATGCAGAGCCTCAGAGCCCACAGCAGCGTTCTGAGGTTGGATTTCACTTGCAGCCACATGTTGCACACACTTGCTGTCCTACGGGTATGTTGCTCAAGCAATCTCACTTCTCTGGGAAGCCTGACACATGGGCAGGCTGACCTTCCTTTTCCCTGTGCTGGTTCAAGGGTTTTCTGAATATTCATGGCTGTCCCAAGGCGACAGCTGACCAGGTTTGGTGTTCACCATCCTACTCACAATGATAGCTGCATAAGTGTTTGCTTGCCTGGTCAGAGCTGTACAGCATGGTTTGGACAAGCCACTTCTCAGACTAAAACTTTCTTGGACGGGAATTCCGGGAGTTATAGTCTTAAAAGGCAACTTTTTCCAAATTTAGGACCGAACAGAGGACTCACATAGCACCAGAGGCCTATGGAATTATAGTAGTCCCAAGAAATTAACAAATCAGTTTTGCTGTCTGCTTTTTCCCCCTGATTTTCTCGATTGCATAGAGGATGCACAAGACACAAGACAAGAGAAAGAGTATAGCATAATAATCAGATTGTAAGGCTAGGGCTGAGGCTCAGTACATGAATTTCACTGTCTGACCATCACTCTTAGCCTACCTAGCAGGGTCATTGTGATGATAAATAATAGAATAATGAAGTTGGAAGGGATCGATAAGGCCAACCCCTTGATCAGTGCTGGATACAAATCACAGGCTATCTGCCAGAGGGTTGTCCGAATTTCTCTTGAATTCCTCCAGTGTTGGAGCACTCGCCACCCCCTGAAGCAATCGGTTTCATTGCCATACTGCTCTAACAGTTAAGAAATTTTCCCTGATATTCAACTGAAATCTGGCTTCCTGTATATATATATAAGTGTGCTGCTTATATACTGCCCTATATTGCTTAAAGCACTCTTAGGGTGGTTTACAGTTATAATTATGCAGGTTACACTTTGCTTGCCTGCCCCCCGCCCCCTGGTGAGCTGGGTACTCATTTTACCGACCTCAGAAGGATGGAAGGCTGAGTGAACCTCAAGCTAACTGTCAGAATCAGCTGGGATCAAACGCTGACCATGAACAGAGTTTTGACTGAAATGCTACAACCCATAACAAGAATACTAACAGAGAGTAGAACATAGCCCCATCCATATTGTTTCTTGTTACCCATATCATTACCAAATACTGTGGGGAATTGCCCACTACCCTGGTCTAATCTCTGCTGATGCTAGTAGCATATGAACCAGTGTTCGTGGTGAACGTTTGCCTGTGGTGTTTAGTCCAAGACTGCCCATTCTCATATGCAGTGCTCTGATAGCAATAAATATGCATATGTGAATTAACTCTGTACAAGAATAGGAAGAATATCACCCACCTACAGTATTGAGTCTGCAAGTACTGAGAAAGGATCAGGTTAAGGACCTACCCAACCTCTCAACAAAGCAGACGGGATTTTTGGTTTTGTAACTATCTCAATGTCTTCATAGAGACCAAACTTTGGAAGATGTCTAATTAAGACAGCAGCTTCTATTAACTCAGAAAGTCAGATTGTTGGGAAAGCCACTTAGATCTCTTGTGCAACTCGCAACATGTAGTATTTCTGCATGATGGTGCCCACAACATACTGCAAAGCCTTTCATGGATTAAAGTGGATTAAAATTTAATAATCCTGATCTGTGATTAATTTGTTAATCTTACTAATTTAAAACTCTAACGCTTGTGGTCCTGCTTATAAGAATTATCACCCTTAATTATTACGTGTATTCAGTTACAAAAGTTCTAGCAACTGTTCAAACCTAACGCTTGCAAGAAGGAAATGTTTCGGTTCCAAGAGTACTAATCCGGGCTGCCTGAGAGCTGCAAGCTACACAAAGAGAGTGCCAATCCATGGGATGACCCCACTAAACCAAAGAACAGACCAGGCAATTGGCAGACCCACACCACAGTCTGCATATGGTAAAGAAACACTGTAATTAATTGAAAAAACTCACAAGGCAGCTTTGTGGCTCTTTGACATTTGCTTTCACACTCACGCCATGCCAAAAGCTGCTTCTTCGCCACAACTGTAACTGCATTAATGGGAACCTAAGGACTGGGACCATGTAAAGTCAATGCTCATTCCTAACAGGTTTGCTGTTGTGCTGCTCCTAATGACTAACTACTGTACTGGTTATTACTAAAATCTGACTCTTGGTTTCACTGTAGTGGGAGCAAGAAACAGCACTATGCCAGTGAAGAGGCAGAACTACGTATACAGAGACGAGTAAGCTCAATCAGCGTTTGGACCAGTTACTTTCTAATATAATTTTCCCTGAGGAATTTGGGAGGCTATTGCCCCCCCAACGCCTCTCTCTCTCTCTCTCTCTCTCTCTCTCTCTCTCTCTCTTTCTCTCTCCCTCTCCCTCTCTCTCTCTCTCTCACACACATACAATTTCCCTCCAAGTCTCAATGGTTCCCAATGACTCCTTATATCATAAGATATTCCAGGACATTTGGGGAAGGCACAAAACCTTCCCCGCCACATTCACTGAAGAAAACAGAAACGTCTGTGCTGATCAATAAACAAAGTTCAAATTCCAGATTCCACATTAGGGTAATCACCCTTATTAGGCCAATTTTTGAAGAAGAAGAAAATGCACAACATTATGGGAAAATTTTGAGGATCACAAGAACCCTTTCTCCAGGCATGATGTTACAAAGGGCAGGGGGATGAAAGGGATGGGAACAGGGCAGTAGCCTGATGAAAGCCTTTTCCCTATTGACTAGGAACAACAGAGGTATTGGGCTGTATGCAGACATCTGAGAAGTATTACAGTACTGGTAATAGCAGGCCTAACAACATCAGGGCATTTTCAAGCATGCTCAGGTCCTATGTCACAGAAAGCCATAGCAGCAGAATTGTAAACAAGCCACCTCTTTCCACTCAGACTAAAACAACCAGAAAAATCTAAAGTAGCTGAACATGCCCCAAAACAAACTGGACATGAAATTCTATTTCAAAATACGGAAATACTGTACAACACCAGCAATCATTACATCAGACTGCACAGGGAAGCCATTGAAATCCACAAGCACCAGTAGAACTTCAACAAAAAAGAGGAAAGTGTGAAGCTCCACAAAACCTGGCTGCCAGCTCTCTAAAATACAGTGTGCAAAAGGTCAATGAACTCTCCCCAGCCACAAGGACAGGGGATTACTACACACAAAAGACCAGCTAATGACACCCATCAACCACAGTGACAGATAATCTCTTCTTCTTAGCACAACAATACACCCACAACAAGACACACTAATCACCCATCTACAGAAAAAGACAAAAGCCTATCTCACAGCCACAAATACTGCACTCCCAAGCCAGTTACACCAAAGCACTGAGTGCTGTCCTCCAAAGATGCCGGCCACAGAGACTGGTGAAAGGTTAGGAAGAATAACCTTCAGAACAGGACCAAAGAGCCCCAAAAACCCACAACAACCAAGCCAGCTTTTCTTTATGGAAAGGCAATCAAGGAGTAAAACATTAACATAGCTAAAGCTGACCTTTTGGATTTCTATACTTTCAGGGAGCCACTGCTAGTGTAGAGTTCCCCTCCACCTCTTTCCACTCAAACACAGTTTCCTTTTTATTTAACTTTTTACAGTATTTCCTTCCTTTTGCTTTGCAACTGCACTGAAATGGCTGGGTTCAGCTGGTAGGAAAGGCCACAAGGGTGGAGACGGTTTGATTTATGGATCAGTAGGTAAGAGTTAAACTCAACAAGCTCAAAGTCTCTCATCAGACACAATACAACTGTCAGTCAAGGGCAAGATGGATGAGGCCCCCATGAGGCAGCCACAAAGGAAACTTTGCACATTGACCTCCAAAGCAGGCAGTTGACAAACCTCATCTTCCTTAGCATACATTAGAGCTATTCACAGACAGGATCATCCAGAGCTTTGCAGTTGTTTTTTTAAATGAAAAAGTAAAATAAAATAAAATATATTAAAGGAACTTGTCTGAAAAGGAAAAGAATACGTAACAAAAATGCTGGGATTGTTTACCAATGTGCCACTTTATTAAAGGTTAGATGAGGAAAAAACGATCAGGAACTTGGACAAAGAATATCTTGAGTCAGAAAAGAATCACACCCTGAAGACCACTGTGAACTATTGTTTTTTTCAGATAGGCTGTTTCAATGATATTTCTCCAGTTATTGCACTTGTTTCACTTTCTTCCTCTGATATTAGTGAAGCAATCATTTTGACACTGCTTAGAAACGTTAGCTTTTTTGGAGGGTCGTGCTGGCTGAGACGTTCTAGAACTTATACTCCAAAAAAAGTAACTCTTGCAACTAACACAAAATAATAGAACAAAATCATCCAGCATGCTAATAAGGAAAAGGTAATTACCTGGAGTAGTCTCCTTTAGCTTCCTATAATGGGGGGGGGGGGGAGAAATAATATTAAAAGTTAGTACATATGTGTTTTCCCATGACTTCTGAGTGTTAAATTTAAGCACTACACCGTGAACAGATTTTTAAACCCATTTTTAGCAAGTCCATAGGACATTAGTAGGATTTTTTTGTTAAAAAACCACAGAGCCCACTCATAAGATTAAGCCAGGTAGAAGATGATTTTACTGACTTCGTTAGCAGTTTATGTTTATTCAGAACTCAAAAGTTCCGAAAACCAAAACCACAACCAATTTGTTGCCAACAAAATTCAACAGCTCTTGTTTAGGGAAAAGAACAAAAGTAAAAATGTGGCAAAATGCCACAAAAATACAAATGTGGTGAACACCAGTAGAGACGACCTGTGGGGAAAACCAAATGAGTTTCTAGAAAAGTGAACTTGATAAGGACATAGGGAGACTCCTTTTTAAAAAATAAAATAAAATTATACAGCATTGTTGGCTTTGTGGAAGTATACTTCAAAAGAGATGTTTGAGTGCCTCTGTCACAATGTTCAACACCATTACAGCCACTTTCCTACTTTAAATCTCCCATTTCACCACCACTCCCATAACCAGGATACTTATATATCATATAGCATAATTTGCATGATTTGGAAAAAAAACAATACTTATTCTAGAAAGATGATGCCATACTGTACTCCAAAATAGTAATTTCACCAGACCACTGTATGCGGTTCCTCACCCGACACATTCATACATACATTTCCCTTTACACTTCTCTTATTCCATCCCATACATTTTTATACTAGCTAGTCTTGACTAGTCTTAGTGCACTAGCAGATTTGTAATATACAGTATGAGCCACCAACACACATTTGTTTTGCTAGGGTAAAGGATTGAATGGATATATTTAGAATACAACAAACAGACAGAAACTGCTGCAGAAATGCCAGAAAAGTTCAGAGCTAAACTCATGTCAGAAAATGTTGTAGCTGATAAGAAGAAAATGCACACTTGAATACGTAAAATCTTACCTGTAAAATCAAAGCTAGTAATCTGAAGACTGTCTCACTTTCCACCTCAATATGCCCCTGTTTAAATAAAGAGGAAGATATTAAGTTTACACAGACAAACTCTGCAGCACTGGGATTAACACCCCCCTACCCTCACTGAATCTGTTAGTCTGTCATTGGACAGCACCACTGTCTTTCCTTCACTTGCAAACCACACCATTACAACACGAGGGGTAGATGCAATTTGAGCTCTGAAATATCCAAACTCCATGGGATCTAACAGGGGCAACCTGAACATTCACTCTGCAAGAAATAAGGTGAAAAAGAAAAGAGGAAGCGAAAATGTGGTTTGCCTACGACCTTTTGATGAATCACAACTTTATCCTCACAAAGGTAGTAACATTTGTACCCCACAGGTTTCCATGCTCCGCTGGCTGAATTGACCGGAGTGAATTCTCTGTTCATAACACTTCTCTCAGTTGAAACTGCTCAGTTCTAAGTAAATACATGTGCACACATAAAGTTCAGTCAGCTGCATATTGATTTGGGAGCAAGCCTTGCTGTCTTAAATGAGCAAAGTCTCATGAGCAAAGTCTGCATGGGGTTGGAACTTCATTTTCCTCTTTCAGTGGAGGTTTGGGGACCTGAGCTATTTTGTTCAAGCACAAGAAGCAATTTTCAAATTAAAATGTAGCATGCTAGTTACAAATATTTGTTCAAAAGAATATGAGTCAAATGAACTTGCCAATGAATTATTACAATTCTGACAATATTTTTGGCTGTGCAAAATGCTTTTTTGGCCTTTCATCCCCATAACAACCTTTCTGGACAGTAATTTCACAAATGGAGGACAGAAGTCAAAAGGGAAAGTTAAGGGTTACACATATAAAATAAGCTAATTTGTCTTAAATTATGCAGACATATTTCAGGGCATTTCATATTGTTACCATCATCGCTGCCATTTGCACATCATGACTGTGATTGCTATCTCGGTCTAGTGTGTAGCTTATACAACCAGCACTTTTAATAATTAAAAAACAATTTAGAAACCAAAAATCTTGTAGCAGTTTTAAGTTTGGACACATGAAACCTGATGAAAAAAAAATAGCTAGTCTTAAAGGTACTAAAAGACCTCCAGTTTCTCTTTTGCAGCAGCAGGCTAACTTGATTAACGGCCGAATTACCACAAAACTATTTAGTATGTTTCCATTTAATTAGGGCACATAGGATTCATTTCCTAACACCTGTACATGTGCTTCATTGGTGTTTCAGTCCATGTTTTAATTTGCTTAACAATCACATCACAAGTTAAGAGTACAGTATTTCTACCACTCACTGCATTTTCCCTCCAGGCACTCAAAGCTTTTACAGGTTAGGGAGCCTGGGAAATCAAGCATGTAAATGGGGCTGTGCTTATTCCCCAATGATCAATTAAAAAACAAAAGCAAGCCGAGTGTGGACTGAGGCAAACTCATGCTAGAACCAACAGTAGCCTTTAGCTCCTAATGAAATCTTAACTGTATTGCCTAGTTCAAACTTTAACAATACACAGGAAGTGAGGGATGGAACAATGAGGATCTTCCCATTATTTCTAAGATTTTCTGGGTTTAGTATATAAAGTATAGAAACGGAAAACTATGTCACAGTTGTAAACCTGGACTAATAACATGACTGACAAGTATGTACATCGTACAATCAGACACACCCAGGGACTCCTTATCCATACAAATTGTCCTGGTCCATTATCAGAAATGGGGGTAGGTTTGCTCCCCCTGTACTGTACCTGTCTCTAATGTACAGTATCTTATCAACTCCCATGGGAGTATATAGCAAACATTTCTTTTACAAAAGAGAGATTAGCTGAAGCTGCCTTCTCCCAAGTTAAGAGAGTTGTGCATGTTCTCCAGCTGCTGCCAGTTGTCTCACAGAACATAATAATAATAATAATAAAAAAAGCTAAAATAACCAAGATGGGAAATCACAATGCAACCAAAGATCCAGAAAATTAGCAGCTCTGTTATTTTAGATTGGTTACTGTTTCCTGGCCCACAAATAGAATAGGCGGTCTTTCTAAAGTAAATTAGGATGACTTTAAAGTGATCATTTGCTTTGTGCTGTTTTATTGATTGTCCTTGAATAAAATGTCCTATTATTCATAGCCCTGCTCATCTCTTCCAAACTCAAGGCCATGCTCCCTTGATTTAGGAAATTCATTTCATTTTCCTCTTCTCCTGTTATGTTCAACTTTTCCTAGCATTATCACCTGTTTCAGCATGTCTCATCTTTTCATGATGCACTCGAAGTATGACAATCTCAGTTTCATTATTATTATTTTTGCTTCTAGGGAGTAGTACTTAAGTTATCAGGACAGCCCACATCACCCAAACAGCCTTGCTTCAACTTTAAGCAAATCTTAAAACAGCAGATTAAAAAAACCCTTTTATCACACCACCTCAGAAATGAAAACCTAGTTAATATTTTGCTAATCTGCCAATCTGCATTTTATCAGCATCCGTTGCTAAATCCGGTATAGAATGAAGGACAAATATATCCTTGCATTTCCTAATGAATAACAGTAAATCCAGTTTCTTGCACCCTATCCCTATAAGTTTCTTGCACAGTGATGATAAAATTCACACCTATTGAAATGTTTGATCTATGGCACTATATGGCATATAGGAGCCCCTATTCTCTCTCCCTCTCTCTCCCTGGCTTTATTTTTTTTTTTAAAGGAGAAGCTGCTTAAATGAGAGAGCTTTTCCATGATAATCTACAGGCCTCTCAACTTAAAAGGCCCAACAATCTTGCCTCAGATAGCCAACAGAATTCTGAGGAAATAACTCCAAAAACAGTAGACAGCAAAAAACAAAAATAAAAACAAAATAAGGCTGTATATTGTCTCCCTGCTTATTTAACTTACATGCAGAATACATCATGCGAAAGGCTGGACTGGATGAATCGCAAACCGGAATTAAGACTGCCGGAAGAAATATCAACAACCTCAGATATGCAGATGATATCACTCTGATGGCAGAAAGTGAGGGGGAATTAAAGAACCTCTTAATGAGGGTGAAAGAGGAGAGCACAAAAAATGGTCTGGAACACGATATCAATAAAACTAAGATCATGGCCACTGGTCCCATCACCTCCTGGGAAATAGAAGGGGAAGATATGGAGGCACTGACAGATTTTACTTTCTTGGGCTCTTTGCTCACTGCAGATGGTGACAGCAGCCACGAAATCAAAAGACACCTGCTTTTTTGGAGGAAAGCGATGACAAACGCCGACAGAATCTTAAAAACCAGAGACATCACCTTGCTGACAAAGGTCTGCATAGTCAAAGCTATGGTTTTTCCAGTAGCAAAGTATGGAAGTGAGAGCTGGACCAGAAAGAAGGCTGACCACCGAAGAATTGATGCTTTTGAATTGTGGTGCTGGAGGAGACTCTTGAGAGTCCCCTGGACTGCAAAGGGAACAAACCTATCCATTTTGAATGAAATCAACCCTGAATGCTCACTGGAAAGACAGATCCTAAAGCTGAGGCTCCAATACTTTGGCCATCTCAGGAGAAGAGAAGACTCCCTGGAAAATACCTTGATGTTGGGAAAGTGTTTAGGCAAGAGGAGAAGGGGACAACAGAGGACAAGGTGGTTGGACAGTGTCATCGAAGTGACCAACATGAATTTAACCCAACTCCGGGAAGCAGTGGAAGACAGGAGGGCCTGGCATGCTCTGGCCCATGGGGTCAAGAATAGTCGGACACGACTAAACAACAAACTTGGGGTAATTTGCCTCCAAATGTTATCCTATTCACAAAGCTACATAAGAGGATTTTGATTATAGAATATCCTGCAAATCTCAAACTTAAATGGCACATATATCTCTATTGTCTTCAGAGCATGAAGGTATAGTTTTCAAGCACGAAGGACCGTTCTGCTTACTGAGTATATCTTTGCTTCAGAGGTCCCAAAAGGAGAAAATTCAATAAATAAAAGTTTTTGAAACTTGGAATGTTGTATTTGAAAAATTAATTAAAGCTAATGCTTGGAAGTTGGAACATTGATACACTGTTAACTCATTTAAGCATTAATTTTAGTATGCTCTTAGCAAAGGGTATGCATTATTCTTCACTCCCCCTCCCCCAAGGGAAAGGAGCCTTTATCTACCTTTGAAAATGAGATGGGTGCTAGGTAGCCCTCAAATATGTTTGGGTTATAACATCCAGAATCCTTATTTAATCCTGCCAAGAGTCTATGGTTATGTCTCAAGGCATTTGAGAATGATGGTTCAGTACTAGAGATGGGCATGACCCGCCAGTTTGGTGGTTCGCACGATGGCCCCACAGATGTTTTGTGGTTTGGTGTTCCACCTCCTCAAAGGCAAAGCCCAGAGGAGATGGGATATGAAAGCTGGGGCACTGCCTCTGAGTGAGTACCTGCTAGAGGGACTGGAGTGTTGAACAGCAGAACACGTGTTGGGCCATTGTCTGAACTGGCACAAGCCACTGAACCAGTGGTTCATGTCCATCTTTATTCAGTACGATCAACCTCAAGTTTGGGAACCATTACTTTACATATCTCAGAAGTCTCAAAACCTGAAAAGTTTAAGATTTTAAGAGGGTTTTTTTTTTCCTGGCAGTGGCCCCAAAAGTAATGAAATGAATGCTAACATTGTAGTTTTAATGCCTTATTTGCAAACTGTTCCTATCTATGAAACAAGAATACGAAGCAAACCTAGTTGCACAAAACGATGCCTTAGCTTCCACTGATGCAAAGTGGTTCAAGCACTTTCATAAAGCCTTGTAGTGCTATGTAGCAGTTCTTGTGAAGAATGTTTGTAGATAATTAAGTCAGCAAATCCAATGTGAGAAAAACAGTCATTATGTCTCCTGCATTTATAATGCCTCAAAATATGTTTTTGAAAATCTATAGTGTGTCAAGATACAAGGATACATATAGATATGCATGTTTATCAAGGAGTTTCTCCCTAAGTGATATATGTTCAGTAGGCCATAGCATGTTAAAATCATAAGAAACAATTGACTTCTACACAGGAATATGAGTGCTTTCAGAGAACCA